CGGTCATGATATTAGTTCATCTGATCTGTACCATGTTCTTTCCTTGGCTAAACCACAACACCCATGCAAACGCCGCAATTTCTAACTCACCTCATGACGGGAACGGGTCCCGTTTCTTGGCACGTCTTTCTCTCCAGATCCCTACTCCTGAGCAAAACCTGATCAGCCTTCGCTGCTACGGTGGCACTTTTCTGTGTGCCACCGGGCAAGGGCACAAGTGGGGGACAACCACCTTTGCCTCTCACCTGGAGCTGGGCAGAGCCTGCCCGGCACGAAACCCAATTTCCACCGAGCCGATGGCAAAGCTCCCTCCTCGCTGGTACAGGCTGGAGTTTTATAACTAAATAACGCGTTGCAGATCCTGCCTGTATTTTTGGCAAATGGAAGTAGAAAACGTCCTTCTCGGCAGGCTTTTCCACGCAGGGGCCCCTGTGCGATAAGCGGCCACAAGACACCCAAATCCATTGTCCTCACCAAAAGCATCACTTCCCACCAAGCACCTTACAAGCATTTTCTATCCGTAACTACAGATCTACCGAGGTCCCGGCTGCTATTTGTTGGGGTGCTCCACCTCTGCAAGACCTCGCGAGACCCCAGCTGCCGAAGGGGTTTGGCTCTGACAGACCCCCGCACCGGCAGCCCCGGACGGTGCCCTGAGTCCAGGGAAGTCGGGCTGCAGGAAAGGCCAGTTTGGCCGGACCAAACTCCGGCTCCGAGAGGCTGGGGCAGCGAGTTCCCCAACATCTCCGCCTGCTCCAGGTGCTGCCCTCAGCAGCTTCTGTGCTCCTTTGACTGAGTTTTTATTATAAAAATTATTATTACACAAATATTACACTCTAGTACTGTGCGTAGATAAAAATATATTGTAGGGAAGAAGAATCTATTTGCAGAGACTTTAAAATCAGACACAGAAAACAGTAATTGTTAAAATTTGACTTGCAACATTTGCATTCAATTTTCAGCAATCCTTTTTTAAGTAGTCTTTCCTATTGCACAAACACCACTGCCATTTCTCTTGCCATAACCATTGTCTCGTAAAAAAAAAGTAGGAAAAAAATACTTCTGGTACAATAAAAAATGCTTTGCAACCCATGTATATATAGCTTTACTGCACCATATTTTAAAATTTGGGGCCGTGCGTATTATTTCTACATCTTCTGAAACTCAGTTTTCCGTGATGATTTCTATTTACAGTTGCACAGTGCCCTTAACGCTTGGGGACACAGTGATAATATTTAATGCTAACCCTTGAAAAGAAGTTTTAGCCAAGTCTCCTCTTCCACAGGCTCTCTCAAAGCAGTCTACAGTTCTACCATTGAACTGTAAGCTCTGCCCTCCCGTGGGTTTAGGGGGAACTGTAACACTCCTCTACCTGAACAGCTTTCAGCCCTCTTCCACTTTAACATTTTCTAAAAGGGTTGCAGATCTTGCTGAAAATTCACATCCAGAAATTGCTGTGCAGGTGAATTTGCTGGTTTAAGTGCCTTTTGCTGACCCAGGGATATGCAGGCTGTGGTGTAAAGAGTGAACTTACATTCTTCTGTGTATCTGTAAAGACAATTTCTCAAGCAGACCCCTGCCCCCAAGCCAAACTCCTTTTGCTCACTCTTATTCTACAGTATTAAAACCGTTTTCCTTATTTAAGATAACATCACGTAACTTCATAAATACCATATCAAAATATACTTGCTATTTATCAACCACTTTTTCAACTAAGAGTCTTAATCCTACAAGACTTCCTATTTTTGTCTTGATGTATCACGCATCTCGGGCTGGGCTTTGCTCCAGCAAAAGGCAGGCAGTGCTACTTTTCCATGTGTTCACTGGAAAAACACAGGGAAGTTTCCTTCTGTCCAAGATTTTGAAGTTTTTCTTTACATAAGAAACATAGCCCAATCTGGTTTTTTATCATACTGTACTCAAAATAAAAGATTCACTCATGTCTCATATGGACTCAGACTCTTGATCTCCAGGTCTTCGCAGACAGCTTTCCACGGGCCTTGGGTTGCCTCTTTTCTGCAAGGTGTGAGCAAGGTGAACAGTCTTGAACAGAATCAAATATCATATATAGCTACTTTTAAAAAGGTTCCTCATCTTTGTCTTTTATGGAGAACTTCTTCCTGAAGGCTTGCGTTAAGCTGGAGGAAGAACCCTTCCTAAACGTGGTAAGTCTCTTCCGAAAGTTGTCCCCTGAGAAGAAATAGAGAAGTGGGTCAAAGCAGCAGTTGGAAGCTGCCAAGGGGAGCGTTACCACAACCAGTTTCTGTAGGTATATGGTGTCCTCGCAGCTGGTGTTCTTCAGCCGCAGCACGTGGAGGTAGACTGTACGCAGAATGTGGTACGGGGTGAAGCTGATCAGGAAGGTGGCAGTCACGATGATGATCATCCAGACCGCCTTCTTGCGGTTAGCCTGGTTCTTCTTGAAGGAATTTTTCAGTAAGGTCCTTATGATCATGGTGTAGCAGATCGTTATGACGATAAAGGGAAAAATGAAACCCACAAATAGGGCAATAAAATCCAGGATCACCACTAGATTTTTCTTCTGAGAGTTTTCTGGGGGTTCAAAGCACTTGGTCTTGTTGCCATGTTGGTATGTCCCATTTTGCAGAAAGGGAGCACTTGTCAGGGCGACAAAAATCCAGATGCCAAAGGAGACAAATTTAGCCTTCTTCTCCGTTACCAAATTGATGTTCCGGACCGGAAAAACAATGGCTACGCAACGGAAGAAGCTCATTGCAGTCATGAAAAAAATGCTGCAATACAGGTTGACATACAGCGTGTACGAACTGAGCCTGCATAGAAAGTCATTGAAGAACCAGTTCCCTTTATTGACGTAGTAGGTGACGCGCAGGGGCAGGGTGCACACGCAGAGGAGGTCGGACACAGCAAGGTTCATCATGTACACTTGGAAGGCTGTCTTCTGCCGGTATGTTTTTATGAGGACGTACAGCACAACGCTGTTGCCAACAAAGCCCATAATGCTGATCATGGAGTAGAGCGTGGAGTAGACTCTGTTTCGGAAGTCGTCGATGGAGTGATGGCACAACAGGTTGTCGAACGGCACCGTCATGTTGCCTGGGGGAGGCACCGATTCCGCCTGGCGAAGAACGTCAGGCCTAAGGATGAAAAACTCAGGTGAGTTATGCAAAGCAGCACATGAAAATAAAATGCGATTATTAAAAAGGAGGGGAAAACCTATCATCTCTCTCGTAGAGGATAGAACAGCCAGGAAGGGAGGCGGGTCTGTGCAGATCCGTGTTATTATGTTATTGCAGCCACCCACTACAGCCACCTTTCTCAACCTGGTACCAACAACTGGGGCTGTAAAGATGAGAGTCGCGTTTTCCTAAGTCCTCAGACCTGGCAGCATCCTTCTTCTACTGAATTACCAAAAAGCTCTAACTCCCCACAAACTAAGGTAGCTACTCATTAAAACAGCAGAGAAGAATAACGCAGGTGGCCATACCACTACACAATTTAAAGTTGAAAGACCAGATCTGGTCCCTAATGACTGTTCTGTCCCATCTCTCTGCACCGCCTGGGAAATGGCAGTCTCTTTGTGCTCCACCTCCGTGCCTGTCTGCACAAGGGGAGGTCACTGCAAGAAGGTTTTTGAAACAGTAAAGGATGTGGTCAAACAAGTCTTTCTCCAGTTCAAAAAAAAGTCAATAAAAAAAACCCCAAATCCTTTGCAGAGAAGGCAGAAGAGGATTCCAAGTCAGAGGCTGCTCAGCACACAACCAAATTCTGCATTGCTCTCCTCTACTCACAGGTAGCACTATTTTTTAAAGTTGCTATGGTAATAAAAGTGTGTAACTACCAGCTTTGGAAAGGATTTCGCCTATTATATCTGATGAACAGGAAAGATCACTGTAGCACAGAGGATGCTGCAGGGCTCCCGTTTCCCTGGCACTGCCTGGGCAGAGATGCTGCTGCAACAGCCGGCAGACGGAGCAGGGAGCTGCAGGGAGGCTCATGTCCCGAGGACAAAGCTCTTGGTCTGCAGACATCTGCACTATCGAGGTAACTCCCCAGCAAAGGGTTTCTTCTTGGGCTTGCTTTTGCACATTGCTTTGATTTACATTAGCAGGTCTGGGGCTCTCCCAAGCAGTCGGACTCTACAGCCAGGGAGGGTTTTCGGATCTGCTCAGCCAGTCTTTTGCAAAATTTTATCGTTTCCTTTGGGAATTCATTTGAGTGCATCGAGGCATGACACTTACTTTACTTTAGGACAACCCAGATTAAGAGGAATACACACACTGCTGCATTCTTCTCATTCATTTTCAATTTCTAATGGTTCAGACACAGAATTTCACTCGCAGTCTGAGACCATGTAAAAACCCCGATGATCAGAACTGCAGGACACACGCAGACTGAAATTATGGGACTTGAACAAAAACGGTGATGAAAGCAAGAGCTGGGACAAGAGCAACTGAGAACCCACACTATCTATGTGCTCAAAACTGATGTTAAATGGCACATATTTTCATCCGTGAAAATAGTCTGGCAGCATTAGAGCAGAAGGATTCCCTCAGTCTCTCTCTCCAGGGTATACTGGGAATTCAAAACCGCACTGGGATGCTCAAAGCTTCCAGGTTTCAGTCAAGTTTCAGCTATTTGGGACTTGATGCTCTTAAAACAATCCTATCATTATCTGCAACGCACAAATGACATTAAAGCTCAACACATATCAGCGAGGCAGCACAGATAGGAGGGAAAGCAAAGCCTGACACGAGAGAGGATGGGTTTTTCCCCCCACCCTTGGGCTATTCGTGGAAAAGTCGGGGTGTGTGAGCGACCGACCGCGCGACTGCACAGAGGTCTTTGGCCAGAAGAGGCAGCCAAGACTCAACACGGCTCTGTCAGAAGCTACAGATCAGTACACCATCACTTACAGTTCACCTTAGCTTGCACAAATGAAGCTTATCTAGCGATGCTGATCGCAAATAATCTGTTGATCAGAGAGAGGCAGTGAGTTTGCAGCCGCGTCCTGTCCCTGCCCCGCAAGTGCCGCCTCTCGGCGGCCGGGTTCTGGCGGTGGCAGAATCCAGACCTCAGCCCCAGCTTGGAGGAGCCTGGGCTCCTCACGATGGAAAACCCAGAGTGGGTCTGAACACTCCAGCCGCCCCGCCTCTGCGGGGGCCAGCCGGCAACATGGAGCTGCTGCCCCGGTGGCACGGAGCAGAGGAGACCGAGCCCCGGGTCCCCGGGAGATGCCGAGAGATCCAGCCTTCAGCCCACACTGCTGGCATCCTCGCTTGCCCGAGGTCTTCGCTTGAGGTTCAAGTTATGAAAAGAGCAGCGCTCCAGTAACGTTTGAAAATCTCCAAGATGGGGCTAAAATTAAGTTTGTGGTAACATTGGGCTGATTTTAAGCAATTGCTTGGGAGTGGCAGGTAGTACAATATTCTCTGAAAAAAAGCTGCATGATCCCCATTCCTTGGTTTTATCTGTCAAGATAATATGATGCGGGTGATGAAGCTCTTACTACTGTTACTCTCATGCGGGGGGTTGATGCCTAGCAAGCAGACCTGCCGAGCAAAACCCCGCTGTGCTAGGCACTGTAAGAACACATTGAGATTAGTGGCTCAATTATGTCATGAAAACTCATAGATAAAATTTCTGTACTTACTGAGGCATCACATATCAGTTCTTTCTCAGACATTTAAAAAACCCCCACAACCAAGATGTTTGAGATTAAGAGGCTGGAATGATCTCTTTTGCACACTGGGGCTTTTTTTTTTTTTTTTTCCATCTGTCTGCACCTCCAGGCAGTTATGATCAGTGTGAAGAAGGAGCAGAAAACACGACAAACTACGCCAGCCCCGTGGATAAACAGAGACGTTTTGCCTGAAAGCCGTAACGTGATGTAACGCTCGGAGAAGGGAAGAGACAGAGGGATGCGGAGGAGCGCTGGGGGAGCTGGGCAGAGCCTGCGTGTCCCGAGGGCACGTTTTGGGTCAGGTTCCTGTGTGCCTTTTGAGAGGGCACGAGCGATGCGCGGCTGCAGAAGGCACTGCTACCTCCCCGCCACCGCGGATTTCTCCTCCCTTCTGCCAGTTTAGCTGTCCTGCCTAGGGGACAGCCAAGAGATACTGGTAAACATCTCAGCCCATCACCTATGCATTAGATAAACTTCCTTCTTTAATCTCTATGCCTATTTGTGCACAATCCTTAGGTGGCATTGGGCTGGGTTATAAACTTTTTAACCTCCTTCGGGGACTAAATTTCAGTCTTTCAGCTCCTATTCTTAAAGACATTGGCAGATAGTGAACAACCACGCGACGTCTTTGTCTGAAAGACAAGCTGAGACCCGTTATCTATCATATTTCTAAGCATAATTTAAAATGCTTTTTATAACCAAAAGGGAAACTGATGGTTACGATACTGAAGCAGACTGCTAAAGCACAAGAGAGCTGCACACCTAGAAATGTAGCTGCAAAAGCCAGAAAAACCCCACAAAACACCATTTCCCAGCTGAGCCTTTAGACCAGCTTTGTGTCACGAATTGAAGACAAATATCGCTTCTGCCACTTTTTATTTGTGTAGTTGTTGTTCACAGAACCATTTACTTAGGTGGCGGTGAACTCGGCTTATTAGGAACGTACAGAAGCGAGAGAGCGCACCGATGGCTGGCTGAGAAAAGCATCTCAAAGTAAGCAAAACCCTAAACAACTGCTCTTTTCCAAGTCTCACGCAGCACAGCTGGATTTATAGTCGGTCGGAAGCGGATCGTACTAGATTTAGTGACACGATCAAGAAGCACGCCACCAAAAAAAGACACCAGCCTTTGTTTCAAGCTCCGACGTAACACATCCCCAGTCCTCAGGAATTCCAAGCACTGAATTTGGGCTGCATCCAGCGCTTGGTGGAAGAGGCGTGGGAACCACCGCGAAATACCGAACGCGCTTCACCGACATCATCTCCCCCCCGGCGAGGGGAGCGGAGTTTGGCCTTCGAAAGGGGAACCGAGCGAACAACCGCAGCAAGCGGCGGGCGCTAATTAATAACCCGGCTCATTAGGACCAGGGGGGTATAACCGAGCCCCGCGGGTCTCCA